ACATCTCTGCCGAATTCAATTTTGAATTTTTTTTAAATGTGTCACTCCGACCACAAAGTATGTGCATTTTGAGGAATGTATAAATGTTTTATAATTATGTTGTTATAGATAGTCTATCGAGATTTCAGTATCCCTGCCTGATAGTCTAGCTGTTTTTGTATTATATAAAAATAATTTCTGTAGGCAGGGGCGTAGCCAGGGTACATTTGATGTGGACGCCTGGATAGGCTTGGGGTTTGGTGCCGCTTTAAGACCACCACTGAATCCAGGGCAAAGCCATGGTGGAGGTCCAGGGGGCGAAGCCCCCGGAAGCTGGTGAATTTTCGATGTGCATGTTTGACCCTTCTGATAGCATTTTTGTTATATTTTTCGGTTTGTTACGCAGCCAAATTTAAGGTCTGTTCTTCTCTTGTACAAAATGCGGACAGTAATTAACTAAAATGAGAAAAGATCTGCCCAAAAGCGAACCCACTAGAACAATTTTAGACTTTTGAAGCTCGACAAAATACGTATGGTAATATGCGATAGTTGGTTACAGTGGTTGACTGGTTAAGACAGACCACGAAATATACTACTGGTTTTAAGGTAGCATTACGGATGTCAATACTTAAACAGGTTTTATTATTTTATTTTTTAAGATTAAACTGAATTTTACCAAGTTTTCGGTTTTTGATGTTCATACATATGATTATATGATTATTGAAGTCTCGCATTAATCCGATTTGGGGTTAAGCATTGCGGTTGGAAGAAAATTTTGGCATTTAATAAAATTATCGATTGTTTTAAGGAAACCGACTGGGTTTTATTGTGTGACATCTACAATAGAGAAACTCTTTAAGAATGTAATATTAATTACACTTGGAAAAAAATCGGCAATATTCGATAGTATACAAAAATCTGGGAAAATAAATCTTTTGATTTCAGTTAGGTGTATTTCCCCCCAAACTAATTCTGTTGGTTTTCATTTATTTTTTATCGTTAAGTCTAAATTGTTTCTTAGTATTTTTTTTTAATTTCTGAAATATTAATTTACTAATATTTTGCAAAAATGATGAGTATGTTTTACAATATTACGCCTGTCTAGCTCTTCTCTCTTCTTTTTCTTTTTTTCTTTCATTTTTTTTTTTGGAAAATGATGTGGACGTTTGTGCGTACAAACGTACGCATGGCTATGCGCCTGGTAGGAGTATTTGGGAGATAATTTTAAAAGCTAGGGTAGGGATTCTTGACACCTGTTGAATACGGATAATTTTTAATTACTCTTTTGTATATTGAACTAACTCTCTCTCTCTCTCTCTCTCTCTCTCTCTTTCTCACTCTGTAACCATCAGGGCAATAATAGGTATAGATCCTACGCACTTTCTGCTGTTCCATTTATACAGCCTTAGGACAGCTCAAGGATTTTTTTTCAGGCGGGATGTCGAAACTTTATAAATTGAATAATAATTTAAATTTGGACAAGAAGTTAACCCAAACGGCCAAATTGAAAGAGAAACTAGAGGTATTGTGAGCAATGAGCTCACTAAATGATACCCCCGCCTCCCATATGGTTATAATGGCAAAATCCATATTTTGCTGTTGTCGCTAAACCCAAAATACGTGTCAGATCAAAAAGTAAAATAGGAGGTGCACAATGGTTATATGTAATAAACCTAAGATTCTGTGAAAGTTTTAGTAAATTTCATTAAGTGGTATAAGAGGATTTGCGGATAATTAAGAGATGGGAACCCCAAAGCGTAACAGACCGACGGACGGACAAAACTATAACTATATACCCTCCCACTTTTCAAGCGGGGGATATTATAAACGTGAAATATACATCACAGGAACGGTTACATTGGGAACTTTCTCAAATACCTTCTCAAACGCATTGGCTTCGGAAGCAAATTGAAAATGTGTGTGTGTGGTGGAGGGGGGGGGGGCTAAGTGCAAAGATTTTTTTTTTTATACGTTCAAAAAATCTGAGAAGCTTAAAAAAAGGGAAATGTCCTTTTCCAAAACACGAATATCATATTTCGTGTGGGGAAAGGGGGGAGGGGGGAGGTAGGGTCGAACTTCAGTAACTATCCCCCGGTTCCGACACCTATGCTCAACCGTACGAGTCGAACCTGAACCTGGACAACAGACAAGAGAATTTTTAAAAAGCTAATTGTAGGTAGAATGTTGAATTCTCCCGGGGGTGGGGGTTGCTCTCTAATTCTATCTGCTTTTTCCAGTAATCATTAATTATTTATGTCTATAGAAATTTAATTCACATTAAATTCTGGTCAGCGCAACTTCTTATAAACCACTGAACAGAGTTTTGTCGTACTTTCGAAATATTTATAGGAGTCAATGTTTGTCTAGATTTGCACATCGCCAGGAAATTCCGAATTCTTTATTTTTTCGGGAATTTCCGCACTTTTACATTTAGATTTTGGCCATATCTTGAAAATAAAGATGAGCAGTTTGTCAGCGCAATTCCTCATAAACCGCTGCACACAATTTCGCCAAACTTTGCAGATATTTAGGACACAATGTGCATAGATGTGCATATAACAAGAAAATTACGATTCCTTAATTTATTTTTTATCTGGGAATTTCAGCACTTCAACATTTGGGGGAGCGTGGGTTTTCATTGATTGTAAATAAAATTATAAATAACTTTAAATCAAATTATATTAGGTCTAATAAAGCCCATACACAGTATTTATTTCATAATAATTAATCATAAAGAAATCAAATTATTTTTATGAGAGTGTTAATATGCATGTTTTATTATACCCCCCCCCCCTCCTATCACAGGAAAATATCTTCAAAAGGTGAATGATTCGTAATAATGCATGCTTTATTATAAATTTAATGAAGTTAAACCATGTAATCATAAATTCTATTTGCAACATTTACAGACAAGAGTAATGTTTAGTTTTGAAAAAGCACTTGCATTTTTTTCAATCAACCCAACTGAGCTTTCAACATTTGATATTTTCCCTGAGCAAATAAAATAATCGGCATGGGCCACGTGTGTCCAAGCATCTTTTACTGTTTAGTTAGCAATGGATTACTGAGATGCATTTTTCAATAAAAGTAAAATAGGATAATTCTTTCGACTTGTGCACATCCCTGTAACGATAGCAGTATATTCAGGTAAATTTTTTATCTCTGCGTTTGACGTGTTTTCTCGCCCGCGTGGCGCAGTGGTTAGAGCGTCTGCTCTAGAGTCGGGAAGTAAGGAGTCAATCCTTTCGTCGCGGGTTCGAATCCCACTGCGGGACGTGGAGACCGGTCCTTCGGATGAAACCGTATAAACCGAGGCCCCGTGTCGCAGTAGGTGCTGGCAAGATAAAGATCCTTCACTGCTCAAAGGCCCTGAGTGCCGAGCATAGGACAAAATTTGTAGCCCTCCACCGGCAAGTGGTGGCGTCTCCATATGAGTGAAAAATTCTCGAGAGAGACGTTAAACAATATACAATCAATCAATCAATCAATCAATCAATCGACCTGCATGGATTTTTGCTGTACATGAATGTATTCCGTGTTAGTGTATTTTCTATATTGCAGCAAATGCATTCAAAAATAATTTAATTCTCGGTATAGTTCTACTGTTTGGTTGAATTCTTACTTTTCAAACATGTATTTGGTCAGTTTATTCAGTTTATGGACTCCTAAAAACTATGCTATCGGAGATGTGTACATGTCGACAGCCAGGCTAGAAAATCACTCAAGTGAAACAATTCTACAAGGCTATATAGAGCAGGTACAGGTGGCCAAAAATCTTCGATAAATATGGCGGAATTGAAGAAATATGGCGGACAAGGGCGTTAGTAAGTCGTACAAAGATGAAAACTGATGCCTTTTTAAGAGTTCATGTCAGCTTTAACGAAGTCAGTGCTTCTTGTAAAGTCCTTTAGGGGCAATGAAGTATGAATCAATACCAGATGATCGGATGTTTGATAAAAAAAACTTAAAACGCTCTATTCACGAGAGATACTAGTACTCCATTTATTTTCATTCCTAAAGGGATAATAAGAAAGAGAGGAAAACATTTTGACAGGAACAGGTCAAGGTGAGAAGGGAGGGAGTTAAGAGAGTGATTTCTGCCATTTCATTTTTAGAAACATTTTTTGTCATTTGTTTTTTGAAATGGCACGCTTAGTTTTATTAATTATCTATTTAGCTTAGAATTTATACCAGGGGTTTTGCAAAACAGCTTTCGTATACTGTTTTTATTGAAAAAGTTCAACAAAAATGTTAAACAGTATTTTAGATTAATGTCATGTCTTAATTTGGATAAACTTATAAATTACTCTAAATCGAGTACATTAAATGATTATTAAATGAAAATATAGTTGTTTATTGACAAGAAACAAAACGCACAACAGTATACGGTTTGATAGTGAAGTGCATACATATATGTCCAAAAAAAAAAACTATAGAAGAGATAAAAGGGATACACAGTTAATGTCGATTTGTAGTCAAGGTGTGAAAAATCAATCGCGTCAAAAAATAACCTTGATCATGTGTTGTAGATATTGAACTCTCAAAAGCACAATCAAGCGAGGATCTCTCCAAATGTTTTAATCCATTCGGCATTTTATATTTATTCAAAGCCGCTGTTTATGACATTGTAAAGTCATAAAAACAACACGGGTTGATGTTCTTACTCAGTTCCAGGAAATCTCATCAAAAAAAGTGCATGAGGTAGAAGAGGACATTGAAATAAACAATGATGTTGTCGGACGTCATGAAAATGAACGACGACAGCGCCGGATGATTATATAATGCCGGTTTTATTTTATAATTATTTGGCAAATAATGAATGTATCAAGCTAACATTTTCAATATTTCTTTATTTTTTGTTGTATTATGTTCCATATAAATTTTGAAAGCGCAGACTACATAGTCCTAATTTTATAGCCTCAGTCCATGAACTTTTTGATAACCCTTCGTATATGTAAAACTTTTGACCAATTAAAACTAAAATAGGGAACCAACATTTTTGGTTTGATTCGAACGTTAATTTACTCCCAAAACCCTAACAAATAATCAGGGTTTATTGTGTGGTGGTCTTCGACTTGATGAAGAGGACAATCCATTGAGGTCCCTGTCCTCAACTTTCCCTTTTCAATAAAGTTTTTATCGATTTCTACTCCAATTATTTGATCTTGCTCTTCTTTGCACATGAATCCTGTTTTGTATGAAAGGTGTTTGTGAAAGGTATCAGTGATATCCTTCAAAACTCCGTCGATGACTGCCTTTATTTCAAGTGTTGTCTTTTTCTCTAATCGCCCATCTGATTCAAAAATTTGAAGCTGAATTGAATTAACTGTAACAGCAACAACAAAATAATGATTATTGTAGCTAAACATTGCAGCATTTTTGTAGAGACATTGAGTTGCATGACTTCTGAGGACTTCTAACTCTTTTCTTTGCATCAATGCCACAACAAGACGGTAAAATAAAAAGAATGGCAGAAAATCAAACTGGAAAACCATCACGGAGGTTTTTTCCTTAAATCTCTGGACAAAGGATTTCTTAACTATATCAAAACTTTTTTTGTTCATACATGGAACATAATGACATTTCTCCCCGACAGCCAATAGTCCCAACCTCATCATGTACTTCAGCAAAGCTGCTTTGTGATACAAATAAGATATATTATTTACTCCACTGGCGTTTAACGATTCATAATCATCCCTTTCACTGATATCTACAAAAGTGATTTGTGACGCCGCTTGCATTTTTTCTTCCTCCATCTTCCAGATGCCATTAAGAAGAGAATCTACCAGATTCCCTGTCGAGTAGTATTCCTCCCATTCTTCTTTCGATGCAATTATTCCTTTGACATGTAACTTGTCAGTAATAGTGGTTTTAAATGCGTTAATGAACCATTGGACATCCGTAACTATTGAGTCCCGGAGACCCCTCTCGTTGAAGAAAAGGCATTTCCCAGCATCATGATAGTATCGCAACATGTCAACAGTATTTACTTCTTTAACAGTAAACTCAACAGGCATTTTATCTCTCAGCTCTTTCAGCGAAGTCATAGAATGATTGGAATTCTTATCATTTATTTTGTCATTTAGGAAAACCCATTCGTGTGGTATTTTTTCGCTCCATTTTGATTTTAGAGTGATATTTACAATACATCTCTCAAGATCCTTCAAGGACTGGGTAGGTGGAAAGCCAAGACAAAAACATCGATCTTCTTGTATATATTGTGGCAAATGGGAGTTGTTTGGCAATACGTTGTACAGTGAATTTACGAAATGTTCTTTGTTCTGTATAAAAAATGATAACTATATATAAATCTATGAACAAACTCCAAATATGGACGAGTCATTTTTATACATTTTTATCATATTCACACCATTGCTTTAGATGACGTGTGTTTGTCACAAAGCCACTTGGTGGACTACAAGTTTATAATTATATGTGTATATTAAACCACTGTTTAACTGGTCATATCATTCATGGCTTATTAAGATAATAAAACGTTCCAAAATAGACAAAGCTTACAATAATAAACACTCATTAAATTAATAACAAATTATGCAGCATTTGATAGAGATAGTGTTCAAGGTAAAATTGTTAAAATGTCCAATGGTAAATCTTTATCTGCTACAATTTAACAAATATATTAACCTTATTCTAATAACAAAACTCCGAATAATTGTAATATTCAAGTATAACAACGAATCCATATTTAATATTGTAGAAGTAATCTTTTACTAGATGATATTTTCTACGAATTGAAAAAAAAAAGATACGCTTTAAAAGTAGTGAGCCTACTAACTTCATATGCATTGTAGATCTAAGAACGTGTAAACGTGTGTAAGTTACCTTGTATATTGTTTCATCCCAGTGCGTTGCTACAATTAGTACTTCAACTTTATCATCATTTCCTCCAGTTACAGATGAACAGTAGGTGTGGATAGATTTCAACCAAAATACGAAGTACTCTGCAACATGCGTCTTATGTATTAATATGACAGAAAAAAAGCCTACGTATTTCATTTGCAAAAAACAAATAAAGAGAAAAATAGTCTTAAATGCTTTCCACATCTTTGCAGTCTAACGTTGCAAATGATTACAAAAAAAATTAATTACATCTCTCTTCCAATTGAAACTTTAACGCAATGTTACAGTATATACTAAAAGAATATACCTTTGTACGTCCATCCAGAAAATAATGTATCTGTCTGATCACACACCTCCTTATCTACCACCTTGTCAAGGTCTTTAGAGGCGTCTACAACTACTATGTAAAATGCTCTCCTGGTCAGGTAAATCTGATGACAAGCGTAGTATGCACACTGTCCTCCAAAGTCAAAGAAAGTCAAAGTCTTATCTGGAGTTTCACTCCTCTTTTCTTCACTCTTCTCAAAAATATCTCTACCTCGGATTCTTCCTAATGGATTCAAGGTAGTATATTTAATTATAATAGTATATGCATTTTTTTCCAATTTGTACAATAAAGGAAGACGAAAGAAACCTTAATCGTCATAGGAGCATAACAAAGGATAATAATTTTATTGTTTTGAGCTCACCTGAGCTGAAAGCTCAAGTGAGCTTTTCTGAACACATTTTGTCCGTCGTCCGTCTGTCTGTCCGTCTGTAAACTTTTCACATTTTCGACTTCTTCTCAAGAACCGCCGGGCCAATTTCAACCAAACTTGCTACAAAGTATCCTTTGGTAAAGGCGGTTCAAGTTTGTTCAAATAAAGGGCCACCTTCTCATTCAAGTGGAGATAATTGGGAATTAATGAAAATTTGGTGGTATGTTTTAAAAATCTTCTTCTCAAGAATCACTGTGCCAGAAAAGATGAAACTTATGTGGAAAAATCCTCAGGTAGTGTAGATTGAAGTTTGTTCAAATCATGACCACCGAGGGTAGGGCTGGGCAAAAATGGCCGACCATAGTTTTTTAAAAGAAATATGTAGGAAAATTCTTCAAAAATCTTCTTCTCAAGAATAGCAAAGCCATAATTGATCATATTTATATGAAAGCATACTCAGATAGTGTAGATTCAAGTTTGTTCAAATCATGACCCCCGGGGGTAGGGCGGGGCCAAAATGGCCGACCACAGTTTTACATAGAAATATATGGTAAAATTCTTTAAAAATCTTCTACTCAAGAATAGCGAAGCTATAATTGATTATATTTATATAGAAGCATCCTCAGATAGTGTAGATTCAAGTTTGTTCAAATCATGACCCCCGGGGGTATGCCGGGTCCAAAATGGCCGACCACAGTTTTACATAGAAATATACTGTAAAATTCTTTAAAAATCTTCTTCTCAAGAATAACAAAACCATAATTGTTCATATTCATATGGAAGTATCCTCAGGTAGTGGAGATTTAATTGTCTTCAAATCAAGACCCCTGGGGGTAGGGCAGGGCCAAAATGGCTGACCAAAGTTTTACAAAAAAACATATAGGAAATTTTTTTAAAAATCTTCTTCTTCTCTAGAATAATAAAGCAATAATTGTTAATATTCA